GGCTGGCCAGCTGACCAAGGAAACTTCTATCATAGTTGCACTTTTAAAATATGCATTACTTCTTACCTTTAAATGAAGTTTTTCTAATTCTTTTCCACCTACTAATTAATGTTCATCTCTAATTAACTTAGTGAAACCTTTCTGTTATAATTCATATCATGAAAAGCATGAAATTAAAGCAGAATTCTGAAAGAATCCAAACGGTGTCGAAGAAACTGCTCGTAAGGAATATTGAATTTAAAAGTACTAACGCAGCTGAAATTCTGAAGAAGCGCATAACCAAATCTCCGAGAAAAGAATTCTTTTCACCTGAGGTAAGCATTAATTCCTGCAGTCAACAAATATTCAGTGGACGTATGGATAACAAACTGACTCTTTGGGTCATTTCAATGAGTTTTTATAAATTCCTTCACTCCTGTGAAACTAGTTATGTTTGCCGCATAAAGCGCATACTTTTCAAAACCACCCCAAAACATTATCAGGAATGGTCATCAAGAGGACAATGCAAGTCAGTTACTAGTTAAACTGCCCAGCACCTAGCAAAATCAGATCACGCAGTTCCATCACAGCCGTCTTTTAAAATCAACTACAAAAAAAGGCCAAACAGTACAATGCCTTATAGATTTCAACCCTTGTGTATAACTGGTAATTCGATAACACAACCCCGATCACTGTGTCCAGAAAAGGCTTGTTCAATCTGGTATGAATGAATGGTATGGTATACACCTACTCATCTCAATCAATCAGTAGTATACAGTTTTATACGAATAATTGGTGGATGGTGACTAGCAGTGGAATCCAGGATAATGCCCATTTCGTCCTATTTGGGACTCGTCATCTGGGTGATGATGTTCCCACCGAGGCTCGAACCCAGTGCCCATATTTTTACTTTCTTGTTTACAACTTATAAGTATCAAGCAGTGAAGAAATACTTTTTCCTTTTCAGCGATTTCATTTTCGTAGCTGTATAGTCGTATTTGTATTACGGAAAAGTGATTAATGAGCACTAGAAATTGCTTAGTCAATATGACACATATGATGAAAATAAAAAGATAATTAAAATGATGCATTAAGTGGGTAGAGTTAAAGTGGATTATTTACAAAACTTTTAAAGATTACTAATTAAGTTGACATCAAGACCCTTTTTTAAATTGTAGGTCAAGTGTTGATGATAATAACAATAAAGACGGTGCAGATGAAGTGAAGTGAAATGAAATGAAATGAATTCAAGTGGTAAAATAGAATAAAATAAAAAGAATATTACCATGATCAAGGTAAAGAAAGGGGTTTAATAAAACATTTTTGAACACATCTAAGTATATTGGCCGTAGCCAGAGAATGCTTTCCACACGGATACGAGAACATATTCCAGCATGGTTTTACAAGAAAGAAAGGAAGTGTGTGCGAAGCTCTATTGTAGAACACTTGATCGACTGCAGTCACTCTATCAACCCTGAACGTGATTTTAACGTCATCTATCGAATCAGTGCTAACTTGGCACGTTTTCTTCGTTATAAACTTCTAAAGACAGTGGAGGCTTTGGCTTCCAATTACTTTAAGCCAGACCTTTGTGTACAAAAGAAGCATCTACGAACCCTACATTTGCCTTGGACGTAGAGAGATAGACATTTATTTACTTATTTTATTATGTACCTTTCCCCTATTACTACGATTATTATTATGATTATTACTATCCTCACTCTGAATTGTTTCCGCTTGTCCCACTTGTCATTCTAAATCCAAAATTATTAGTTTTTTCTGTTTTTACAATATTGAATTCTATTGTATCAAATTTCACACCATGTCATGTAACGTTTTATTTAGCCTACTAATCCTATAATTATATACCCCTTTCCATCATCTATACACCTCAAGTATGACATTAATTCTTTTGCTACTTGACATTTACCTATGATTGTAATTGCAGCAGGTCGAGTGTGAGGACAAATACTAGCCGAAGACATTGGCTGGGGGTCACGCTATGTCGTGAATTGGCAGAAGTTAGAATTCATGGGCTGGCCATTGGATCGGGTCCCAGTGGATTAACGGTATACGAGCTCGCTAGCCTTGTAACCAGAAGGTCCTGGGTTCGAATCCCGGCGGGTGCGTACTGCTGAAGAGTCCCAAACTAGAATGAAACAGCTGTCCAGTACTCCCAGGTTTTCCGATGGTTCTCTAACTAATGTCAGCTCATGATGAAAATCCTGTAACAAATATTTTAACTGCATTCCGTACTATTATTAGTTCATGTGTTCACACTTTTGATCTAATTCCCTCACCGGATATAATTTCTTAAAAACCATGTATATACGATTGTACAGCTTGATAATAAATTCGTTGTTGAAAAGAGTCTCATCGCTGAACCTTGTGTTCCTAATGCTACAATGGCAATTGCTAAATTACTATTATTCAAAATCCATCATCTCATTGCTCTGGATAAATATGGTAATTTAGAATAAAACGTTATGAATTTTCTTAAGTAAAAGTAAAACGTAACGAAATTTAGGATAGAGGTACTGTCAATTAGCAAAAATATATATCCTATCAGGTTATAAATACGCGTAGATACAATTGAAAATAACCCCTATCTCTGTGTAATGCTTCTCAAGGAGAAGTTTCATTTTAAATAAGCTTCAGCTAGCCGGCTGACTGTTAAAGAGAGTGATATGCTTCAATTTTGGGATAATCAGAATGTGCACAGTTTTACGTATGGGTATACCGCGATAATAGGTAGCTATCAGTCTCTTCAGAATCCAAATAGTCAAATATTTAAGAAAACTTGTAATTTATTCAGAAATTCAATAGAAACTCAGTGACTAACAGTTTCTAACGTTAAGTATTCAACATTTAACGGTTTATCAGTTAATTTTGAATATTAGAAAGAAAACAAGAAGTTTAATAAACAATTATCTTTTCAGTGGTGACATTTTTAAAAACTGTAGAGTCGTAATTTATATACATTAGTTAGCAAATTTAGTAATGTTATTTGATTCGACACAGTAACAAAGGTGGGACTGAAGGAGAAGATATTTTTCAACTTGAAATAAAAGTAAGCAGGTGAGATGAAAAGGTTAATATAAATCACAAGGGGAATAAAAGTCAAATTAATATAGCTTTAAGAGAGTAGTTGGTTAATATGTAAAAGCAAGCACACAAAGTAAACAGAAATCTACCAAAGACATTGTAGAAGGTCTCACTATATGTACTGAGAAGATGGAAATGTGCTTTAAAAGAAGCTAGCTAAACTTCTTCATCTTCCGTGGATATAGTCTTCTTTATGGTTTCCTTCTCTTTTGGTTACTTTTCTCCATTCGTTTCTGTAGCACTAAACTTCTTTTCATGTTTAGTTATAAAATATTATTTTAGTCTGCTTTTATGCGCATTCTGATCACACAAATTGTCAAATTTCCAGATGGTAAAGATCCTTAACCTATCTCTTGTTTCAGAAAACTACGTCTAACACGCAGAATACTATGCATAGCAACCAACGAGGAATAACAGAAAATTGTTGGATAATATGATTGTTTATGCCTCCATCAATAAAGAAATAGAACTACAAGGTACTAAACGCAAAGTCTGTAGTACGAAAACATTAGTAAAATGTCCAAGTGTTGGTTTTCAGGGATGTGATTGGTTTCAGGATTTCATCATGAACTGATATCGGTTAGAGAACCATTGGAAAACCTGGGAGTACTGGACAGCTGTTTTGTCCCAGTTTGGGACTCCTTATCACTACGCACCCACTGCCAGGGTTTAAACCCAGAACTTTTTGGTTACAAGGCTATCTAGCTCGTAAACCATTAAACCACTGAGACCCGATCCAGTGGTCCATGAATTCCCACTTCTTTCAGTTCATGATATCGCGCGAACACTAGCTAATGTCATCTGCGAGTATTTCTCCTCATACCTAACCTTATAGTATTATAATTATTGTTTCCTTTAGTTCATAGAGGAACGTAGGTCTTCAACCACATGTCTCCATTGCGTTTGGTTCTCCGCCAACCTTTTCACCTGGCTCCACGTCTCCCCACATGCTTTCATCTCCTCTTCACATGACCTTCTCCGTGTCACCCTCGCACTGACGACCAACTCGCCGCTTCCCATTCGGTCGGGTTGCCTTGATCGATGGTCTGGCGAGTGATGTCACTTGATGGTTTCCTCAAAGTATGGTCAATTCACCTCCATTTCTTCCTGTATCTTTGTTGTACAATCGGTTTTTGCCGCGTTGGTCAGTTCATTGCCAGAGGTCGTTGTCGCTGATCTTTTCTGGCCGACTATCTGATCTTGACTGGTATTGAACGAAGACAACTGTTGATGAAGGTCTGTAGTTTATTCAAAGTGCCTTTCGTGACTCGACGTGGCTCCAAGTCTCTGATCCTTATAGTAAGTATCACTGAGTTCACATTGGAGTTGAAAACACGGATCTTATTTTTCATATTGAGTGCTGTTGACCTCCACACAGACTTGAGAGTAATGAAAGCTTGCCTTGCTTTCCCGATCCTCGTTTTGATATCCTATTCAGTTCGGTCCTCCTGTAGTTGAAACAATGCTTCCCAGGTAAGTAAGTAGGTAGGCAGGTAAAAGAGGTTGCTTCTTTCAGATTTCTCTCATTTATGCTCATTATTGTCAGTTGTTGTTGCTGTTATTGTTGCTGTTCCTCGCGACCAGGAATCTTCATCACGTCTGTTTTCTTTATGTTTACCTGAAGTCCTATCTTCTCTGAATGATTCTTCTGCCAACTTGTTGCTTTTCGCTTGCATATATTCCAGTTTGTGGGAAATCAGACATATATCATCGACGAAGTCCAGATCCTCCAAGTATTTTGTGTGAGTCCATTTTATGCCTGTTTCCTCATTGCCCGCTGTTTGTCGCACTATCCAATCCACTGCAATCAGGAAAATCATTGGCGATAGTAGGCATATATATATATAAGCAAAGTATTCATAAGAAACGAATCTGTGAATCGCATTTGTTCATTTGTTTTTAAAAAAATCAAGAGATTCTATTTTAACAAAATAGAAATATATCTTATATTAAAATTTTGGTATTCCAGCGACAACAAATGATTCAATGAAACATTCATTTTCTCCGCGTATTATCCTGAAATAACCATTTTCACCCCAATCTTCATTCCATGAATTTGCGCATAACCAATAAGCGATGCCGTCCTCTTCACCCCAACCAATAATTCGTACAGTATGCATACCCACGAGATTCCCTGTAATATGCTTATAAATGCCAGATTTATAAATTGGAAAATCTGTGAACATATCCAGTGTTGCTGTGACTGGACCATTCAGTAAAATTTCTTTTTGAATATCTTCAACTCTATTATTTACATTGTATACGGTTTCACCTGAAACGAAAAATAGAGAGAAAAAAATAAACAATACTGTTGTATATCTACTGTCAGACAAATTTTCGATACTTAGTAAGGTTACCTTATGAAGAAAATCTTTTTCCTCATCAACGAAGTCATCATTGAAGGCTTCACAGTCCTATTTATATATTCCAAAACACGTCTAGCAGTCTGTCATTGAGTCAGAAGACTATGTGTGTGTGTGTGGCATAATTGGTACAGTTACTAAGAAGAGGTTTCTAAGAGTAAAAAGAAATCTGGTAATTGTCAACTACACAATGGAATTAAGAGTTTGAAATTTGATAAGGTGGAAATTACGGAATATACACACTGGATCATAGGAATTATTAAAAAGACGGTTGCAGCGAAGAAAATTTTCTTTCCGATAAAGTCATCATCTAGGCTGTACATTCGTGTACTTATATTAAATCGATGGAAAAGTTCCAGAATAATTTCTGGTTAAGGGTCATAACATTATACAGCACCACTTCTTCTATAATCCACTCAAAAGTGGATAAATACCCTACTGATGTCACCTCCAACTGCGTTTATGAATTAACGTGGAATTGCCGGAGCAAGTACACTGGTTTTCTGAACATATTCCAAGAAACCTGTGCCTGAAAGGAAGCAGATATTCTCAGAATGCAATTACCAGACATATTGTTGATACTGGTCATCTCGTAGAGATTTCTAAGTCCTTCAGAATATTAAATACACAATGGACAGCAAATTTACCACGATTTGCCGAAGCGATCGCAATCAAACGATTTAAACCGAACTTATGCATACAGAAAGAGAGTGTGATTAACCTCTCACTCCCTTGGTAACTGAATTTTGATGTTGATTACATTAATTAGTCATCTAATTCAGTGATCTCAACTCACTGAACAGACCTTAGTCTTATAAACTGTAAATGCTTTTGTTTTTTGGAGTTGCCATGTGAACCTACAAGCTAACACTGTTTCTGTTAATCAATTTTTCTGTTTTCTGTCTTACTCCTCCCCCCACCTCTTTTCAACTTTAAAAGCGTATAAATTGGTGATGAGAACTTAAACTAAAAATTGTAATGCTTACATTGTGGATGCGTCAATTTTATAGTATCTCTTCTCTACTACCACTTAAACATTAAAGTATGTTATTATCATCTAAATAACCATTGTAATTCCAGGTAGTCTGCGGCTGATGAGAACCTGTGAAATAGAATGATGATATCATTTTATACTGCAAATTTTGTCTTCCTTTCTTTATCGAAATTTATCAAGGGGACCAAATGTATGAAATTCAGTGTTTATGAACGACTAGTATAGAGGTGAACATACATAATTTTTTAATATGTGCAAGTCAATCATGGAGTCCACCAATGCTAATGTAAGGGAGCACATACCCATAGATAAGAGTGAATAAACGCGGAGCTTTATGAAAAGTTGTCAACGGCCGAAATTCATAAGTTGTTTGATTTCTACTCATTGACTGAATAACGACGTGCTTTATTCGTAAACTAACAGTTTCTAACTCGATTTCTTTTGCTACCGTTAATGTGCACCTCAAAGAACTCCTAAATTAGGAAGAAACAGTTATGCAGTATTTCCTAGTCTTCAGTATTCCTCTAAATTATCTCACCTTTGGAAAGAATTTCATCTAATTTCAATCAAATGCGCACAAACCCAAAAAATGAATAATGAATACTCATGCAGATGTGTCTCCTGTTTACAAATCTATGTTTATGAACATGACCGAAGCTCATCCGGAAGACCTGGAAATGTCTAGTCTGAGTCCTACCGTGGCATAGATTTTCCCTGTCACCTTCGATCATCACTCAGTCCAAGGCTATCGCAGTAGGCCTCACCACCAGATATTAATATTGTACAGGGCCATTAAATGAAACTGAAATAAAACCTTGATCACTGAGAGATTTCTGTCAGTATTACCTACATTATGCCGAACTAATAAGGGGTTTTGACTACTGATATATGTAGTAGATGAGCTACAAGTAAGCGGAAATCTGTTAGTCTAAGAAAACTTTTATTTCTGAGTAATTAAACTATACCGAAATCTTGGCTTCTGTTGACATTTCCGCTTCCAGTACGAACGCTTCGACAATGTCTGTTGATTAGTATGGTGTCCGCATGATGATCGTGACTAGCGGTGGATTCCAGGATGCGTATTTAGTCCTAAATGGGATTCGTCATTTGGATGTGCCTATATCCCCCGATAAGTGACGGTGTTCCCAGTAAGACTCGAATCCAGCAGCCATTGTTTCCAACATCAAAACACAATCTACCAAACCACTCGACCATGAGAGTCATCCAGGCGAATTTCATTATTAACCAGAAGAAACCTAATTACAAAATATTTGCTCTACTTCACGACCTTAAAAAGAAAAATACTCACTCAGGATTTTAAATACCCTCTATTTAGAGGACTAGAATATTATTTATTTATCTACTTATAAGTATTTATATTTTCATAGGATTTGATTTTATTACATTAAAGCATTTATGAATGTTGTAATGGTTCTGGTTTCTAACTCATCTATATTTACGTTTTGCAAACTCTAATTAGATTTAATAACAGTAGTACTTGAACCAATTTTATTCATTTTACGCTTAGCTTACATATCAGTTTATTCTTTCAATTAAACTGTATGGAAGAAAATTCTCTTTTCGATGAAGTCATCATCTAGGCTGTACATTCGTGTATTTATATCAAATGGATGGGAAAGCAGAAATCCTTCGTAAACGCCTCTGCAAATCTCTTAGGAAAACATACTTTGCCGCGAGCCTACGACTGACGTTTTCCTGCAAGAAATTGTTCAGCCAGAACGTGAAAGACAAGTTGTCGCATTGCGCCACCTCAACGTGCATATACCAGTTTACTTACTCTTGTCGCGCTGCGTACATTGGCAGTACCATGCCCCGACTTGAAAAACGCGCTCGTGAACACTATCCAGCCTGGCCAGTAAAAGGAGACCGCAAACGTGTATGTAGTTCAGTGACAGAACATCTGGTCAATTCAGGACATTCAGCGCCTTTCGAAAAATCCTTCAAAGTAATATATAAGAATCAATCAAACCTATCAAAGGAGTGAAATTAAGACATCTGGGCATAGCCGAGGCACTAGCTATGCAAAAGCTCAAACCTAAGCTTTGTATCCAAAAGAAATACGTTCAACCCTTGTCCCTGCCATGGCCATTATAAACAGGTAATTCTTCTAATAGTTACTATCCCAATGTCTTTTCTATCTAAACTTCCTGTTTATTTATGTTATTTTAAGTTTTTCTTAATCCCTGTTTACACTACCATATTTTCATTTCCGCACTTCCGGTTTATTTTGTCGTTTTACTATTTCTACATATTTAATCCCTGATTGCATAAACAATTATTCATCACATTAGTTTTTTATCCAAACATCCTGTCTATTTTTGTTATTTCTACATTTCTAACCCCCAACTGCACAATGCCAATCTTCTCAGTTTTATCTGTCCCCCTGTTTATTATGGTATTTTATTTCCTAATTGTAATTTTATTAATTTGACCCTTAACCGGAAATTATTCTGGAACTTTTCCATCCATATAATATAAATACACGAATGTACAGCTTAGTTGATAGCTTCGTCGAAAAGAAAATTCTCTTCGCTGCAAATGTCTTCTTAATAACTCCTATGACCCAATGTGTATATCCCGTAAACTGTATGCAATGTTTGATGGTTTGACTGTGGTATTACTTGCTAAGAGCCATCTAAGATTAATCTATCTAGCAACCAGCAGATTATCAGTACACCTCTTTATCAAACATGATATAAGTCTCACCGAATGTTTAGCTTTTAGCTACAAACTTGATATATATAGAGAGCTAATACACTTTTAATTTGTTCATCTATCCGAATGAAGAATGAACTACGCACTGAGTGGAACAAAAGTAAAAACCTGATTAGTGCTCATGTATCACACACTTGTTAGTTTTATACATATTTCCAAATGTTGATTTTTCAGTGATTTAACTGACTTTCCATCGGTGTGTTACATTTACTTAGTTACACAAAAACTCTCATTTTTCTGGTGTTTCTGTCCAGGAGGTTGTAGAATTTTTCGTAATTGGTTTACTTTCGAACACCGATCCTGTGGATATAATCTTGTTAACTATTAATACCTATAACTAACTGTTTGCCATTTTGTGACTGTTTGACACTAACTAATATGTATAACTGTATGTACAGTTGGATTCGCACGCCCAAGTTGACCCAAGTCAGTGGTTCTATGGTTTTCATGTCATCTTTGGCAATCGTATTTAACAGTGATATTTGTGCTACGGTTCTTGTTGTTGTTCCGATTGCTTTACTTCTTATTTTGAGGATTCTAAGGAGAGCAACCCAAAAAGTCGCTCCTCTGTAACTTACCTCTCTATGTAACAACTCCCTTCTTGGACGTGGGGCTAGCGACCCCACCCTGTAAACAAAGCTGCTACAGAAACTTCAGTACGATGAGTCTCCTTAGGACGAAAGAAAAAATATGTGTGGTGACATGGAACGTCCGCACTATGTATGAGAGTGGTAAAGCTGCCCAGATTTCAAATGACATAAACAGATATGGTATTCAAGTGCTGTGAATATGTGAAAGCAGATGGAATGAAAGTGGACTCAGAAAATTTTCAACGAGAGCGACGTAAGACTGAAGCCTTATGTTCCTCTAGGTACTAAAGAAGACAATAATAATAATTGATTTCAAGCTAGATGGCGACTAAATGACTGCCTGAGTTTTGCTTAGGCGTCTGAAAATTCAAACTGCCACACATACACACACAAATGTAGAGAGAAAAGATTCACAAGAACTGTAATGAAGAACAGAAATGGACGGGAGAAAGAATAATAACCTATTAAAAATAGGAGGATTTAGTAGATCTAGGAGACTACACAGAGTGAATGGAACTGCTTCATTGACAACGATTTTGAGTCATGTCAGCAATACTCTGCACCTACTGGTTCTTATCATCCTGAGGAACTCAGCGAGGCAGTCTATATCTCCCCATGTGGCTGATTCAAACCATTTGTCAAAGATTTCATGAACTGATGCCAAGTTTTAGGTTTGATCAAACCTAACTCTTTTCCAACCTAATTCTTTGTCACCTAACACTGTTCTTCAAGGAAGGTGATGGATCGATTTCTTAACAGATTCACAAAATGACATGAGTTAGAAAAACATTTGAAGTAATAGAAATCTGTTTCGTCCTAGTTTTGGACTCTTCATGACATTGTACTCATGAACCTACCAAGAATCAAACTTAGAAACTTTGGGTGACAACGAGGCGTTGTTCATCATTCATTGGGAAATACAAAAGAAACCCTTTATTATAATGAATTCATAACTATTGTTTAAATTTTATTACGGAATATAGTTTCTTAAAAATTATGCACAATCGTATGATTGTGCAGCTTGATGATAAATTCTTTGAAAACAATTTGAATACTGTTTACTGTATTTTTAGAAACCTTCTTGTTCAGACGAACAGTTAATTAGTCACCTGCAATTTGAAAATTCATTTACAGATTTTTCACAAGGGGAGAAACTGAATAATGACGTCTTCAAGTTCATACATTACTCTATGCATCACGTTAAGTTCGATTATCTAAGCGAATCATAAACAACTGTCTCCTTAGTACTACATTTTCATGTAGATTAAATCATTAGAAAAATGTTTAGAGAGAAGTATTCAAGTGCTTCCATGTGATTCAAAAACATGACGTGTTACAAAAAGCATTTTGAACATTATCAACAGCTACCTTTGCTGACTTCATACTTAATATCAGATATCCGGCCAGAAATGATAAGCACCTGGAACGAACCAGAAGAGAACCTATCGCCAAACAACAAATATGCAGAAGGAAACGAAGTTAAAATTAGATCTACACTGAGTACACCTTCGAGTGATATCACGTACCAGGCCCTAGAGTGAAGCCTGAAGAATGAGAACCAAACAGTTAGGTGTCTGAGGGTGATATAGAGAAGATCATGTGAGGAGATCATCATTCCATGGACAATGTTCAGCTGTCATGTGAATCAGTAAACATTTACTGCCCCGTTAGATGGGAAACTAAACGAGGTGATAAACGGACCATTAGCTGTTGAATCTCGTAACTCAGATGGTACAGTGTCAGATTAGCAGCTTAAAGGCGACTGGTCTGAGTACTGAGGCGGCTCAGACTCCCATTTCACCTTCAATCAGCACCCATTTTATTAGTAACAGTAACAGTTTGATAAACCAGCACGCCATAGTTAATATTACAAAACACTTTTCATCTTTCATTTCCAATCTTTGTTTAATTTACGGTTTCACAGATAACTAGAATGAGATGAATCGTTAGGAAAAAAATTTTAAAAAGTCATTCTGGTTTGATGAAACTGAACACACAGATAGATATATTCACGCAAATTTGACAATATATAAAAATCTTAAATACCTATCGCAACGACTAATTCCAAATAAAAGTACTTTTTAGCTTACCGTAGAATTTATCCTTCTCATAGGGTATTGTATAACCTTTAATACATTCAAATTTGCATAAAGGAGTTCTATAAATGTGAACACCGCATGTTCGATATTTCCCTTGCTTATAATGTTCACAATGCGGAAATATATACGGTTGACAGGCTTCAGTAACCAATCCATTTGATTTCCAATAATGCCATGCAAAACTAGCATGACCATTATGACATCCATGACCACATGTTCCACAACAACTGATTAGATTGTGAACACTCAAGTTCACTTGGATTTTCCCATGTGATTTAATACAAATTCTATCACTGATTGCTTTTGCTGAAGCTATAGCCTGAGCATAAAATAATAAAACGCATCAACAAGTTAGATTAACTAAACATACTATCAGTAGGATACTAAAAGGAAAAGGTGTTTATGCTAATGAAAAAAACAACAAGATGCTGGGGTCTACTGCTGATTGATACGGGTGATTGGAGATTACTTACGTTAACCAGCAATATACATACCATCATACTATTTTGATTGATTTCTTGACTACTATTCATAACTATCAAACAGCACACACACTATGACCTGAAAGTTCCAGGTAACTTAAAAATGACAGATTTCATTCTGAAATTGTTATTTTGTAAGAATTTGATTGACTTCAAGGTAAATCATGAGCTGACATCATTTAGAGGACCACTGAAAATTAGGGAATGCTAGGCAGCTGTTTCGTCTTAGTTTAGGACTCTTCAGTAGTAGGCAATTGTAACTCCACCAGGACTTTCAAGTTATGAGGCGAGGTTGCTCACCATTCAGCCCCTTGGATTAGACCTAATTGCCTATGAACTCTAAACGATGTCAATTTGTTATCTAACTGGAACGGTTGAAATTATATGAAAGATAATAGGCAAGCTAAGGTATTTATGCACACAGTTTTCCATTGTCTCAGTTTTAAAATATCCTTCTCGTAAATCGTCAATTAAATTGAAATTGCGTCAAATAATAACTGTAGAATACATTGGCTTACTTCATCTTTACAACTGTGTTTGCTGTCTCAATAAATACGAGCTTGCATTGTAACCGGTAGGTCCTGGGTTCGAGGCCCATTGGTGGGTGAGTACTACCGATGATTCCCAAACTAGGATGGATGAAACAGCTATCCAGTACTCCCTGGTTTTCAATGGTTCTCTAACTGATATCAATCTGTGGTCAAACTCGTAAAAACAAATCTAATCCTTACAAACCAACTCTTGAAAATCAATAAGTAATGCCTAATAATAGAAGTTAAGCAGGGGATCTTCAGTCTCCTTCAAGCGTAATCAATGATAACGATCCCTGTGAAGCAGCCAAAACTAAAGTCTCCTTGACTGATAAATATAGGTAACAGGTATCGTCATCATCTAAAAGAGCATAGAATGACAGTCAAATCTCTGCCTCAGCTTAATAGGCCTTGAGAAAGCCCTCAGTAGTGTTGACTGTGAGGTAGTTTGTCAACAACTTCGACAGTAGGAAGTAAAGTGCCTCAGACATTTATAAACCTCATTCAACAACCATATAATGGTGCTGTATGCCAAGTAATTCACATCACAGACCTTACCGAAGTGTCTGAAGTGAAAACAGGAGTAAGACAAGGCTTCCTACTATTACCGATGATATTTCTGACTGGAGTGAACTTGGAGAATGTGGGGATTGAGGAGATGAGCATACGTTGAATTGAAAGACCCTAGAAGATCTGGACTCCTCGGATGATTTATGCCTCAGTTCTCACAAACTTGGATATATACAAGAAAAAGTCTACAAGATGGCTGAAGTGACAGACAAGATGGGACTTTAGGTAAAAGTAGAGAAGACATAGGTGAAGAAAATATACGACCGACCATAGCAACAAGCACTGATCACTATTAATGGAGGATTTTCAAAGAAAGTTTTCTGTTTCATTTGACTCATCATCACTGTCTAAACTTCATATCATGACCCGTTTGAGGATGTCAGTTCCAGTCAGGATTGGATCGAGAAGGCACGATAGGGGTTCACTGATCTGATATCAGTGTGAAGATCTACAGCACTCAGCACAAGGAACACCATTCGCATTTTCAGTGCTAATTTGCAATCAGTGCTGCTATATGATTCGGAAAAATGGTACGCGCGTCACAGAAAGCATTTTGCACTAGACTGTAGACTTTCATCCATAGCTATTTTCGCTCCATGATGAAGATCAGATGGCCGGTCGCAAACGTTAAGTAACAATTAATTCTGATAGACAGCAAATCAACAGACAACCTGCTGTTTCTCAACAAATGTGATGAAGGAAACTGTCAATGATTATGAACATTGAAAGTTTGTTCATTGACCTTGGTCGCCATCGGCGGGCAACTTGAAGGCGTGAGTGATTTGATCGTGTACAAGTTAGAAGAAGACGAAAGAATACGAATAAAAGTACAATACATTCCTTTTAAAAACATTTGTTTATAAACTTAGTACAAAATATTGATTTTAACAATCGAAGAATACAATCTCTTGTCATCCATTGTGTTTTGGAATTAAAGTCGATATCTGTGCTTAGTGGTTGTCGATTCGGAGCGTCTTCGGAAATAATAGGATCTTAGGATTAAGTTCCTTGACAGAAATGGAGGTGGACAGAGCATACGCTGAGGAGCTTGTTTACTGACATCACACGCCAGGCCTACGTGTGGAACCCGAACGAAAAGAGATGAGTTCGGTATGGATCCTAGTATGCTATGGAGATCATAGTGAGAAGGAAATGAAAGTTTCTGTGTGATGGTGAAACTTGTTAAAAACGACTGCAAAGGGAACATAATACAATGAAGATGTGCTAATGAAGCCCTATGTTGCACTTAGAATTCAAGGAACACGAATTTAACCAGTTTCAACAAATCAATAAGAAACAGTTCTATCGCTCCAAATTTTGTGTCATAGAGGTATTCTTACATCCCACGGGTAATATAAATTGGAAGCCTCTTTTTTTACGAGTTGATTACGGATTGATATCATTTACAGAACCACTGAAAATCAGGGAGTACTGGACAGCTGTTTCATCCTAGTTTGGGAGTCAGACAAAAACTATCAGCAACTGAAAAATAAATGAACATACGGTTGCATTTTGCTGATGAATCCAAAATAGGAAGAAGGTCGAGTCCTAAATCCAACTTCTAGACGCTGTTACCTAAATAATATTAACTGACAACAAATTTTATCAAGAATGCACTAAATAATGCATTTTTTCACCTCAAAAGTGTGTAGCTAAAAATTTGAATCAAAACACTGTGACTTTCTGTGTTTTAATATAAAACTTTGTACAGAAGCGCAGCAGTTCAAGTTGCCACACTCCATATAATATGCAAAGATAGAGAAAAGAGAATTTCAAAAGAACTACAATTAGCAGGAATATATGGAAGAAAGAACAGTAGAATGGAAGAAAACAGGAGGATTTCATGTATCTGGGAGATAGTGAATACATCTGCGTCATTGAGAACGACTTCGAACCGTATCAGCAAAAGTTTCCAGCCACTGATTCTTGTCATCTTGGGAATCTCAACCAGGCTGTCAAAAACTTCCAACATGGCTGTAACCGACAGTCACAGACCTCATAAACTAGTTCCAGGTCTCGATTTGACCACTCCTAACTCTTTCCCAATCCAGTCCTTTATCAGTTAACCTTGCTTGACAAGGAAAGCTCTGGCTTGACAAGCGTAACACGTGTCCCAACCATCTCAGTCGCTGCAGTTTCACACCCTGACCGATTGAATTTCCTTTCTTACTTAACATTCTGTACACTTAAGCTCAATACTGCTCACCATATTGTACCGCTTAACACGGAAGACAGAATGTAAACATCTCTATTCAAAGACAGATGGCTTCCATTTCCAATGACCGCATCTCACAGCCATAAAGGAAGACGGGAAGAAGCACTAAGCAGTACACACATCCCTTGATTGATAGCCGGAGATCATGTCTACGCTAGAGATGAAGTTAACTGGCAAATGGCACATAAGGCTTTTGTATCCGTGCTGAGATTTCATCAGTAATCAAAACACTATCCAGCTGTTTAAATCAGGGTCTGGTAAAAAAACAACACATATCATATCTAATAAAAAATAAATACGGGTCTACTTAAAGTGGGAGTTTTTCTATCGTTTTACTTGTGTAGACTTTAGATTGAAAATAGAACTTAATAAGCTGTTTCTCACTCTATCCTTACCGCAATTAGCAATGTATGAATCTACTAATGAGTATTTTTTTTCCAAATGCTCCAAGCTGCTTATTACAAGTATCAGTAATTGTTGAAAAAAATGAAGCAAAAATCATAAACATTCCATGCCAATTCATCATTCTATACTCATGTTTTTCAAATAATGAAGGAGATGTGTAACTCAGGTAGATGATTTGTATATGGCTGTTTTTTCTACGCTGGATGGCTTAATTGTTATGCCTTCATGGTCCTGAGAAGAGCAGAAGACAAATATTTATTAACTGAAGAGTCCCAAGCTAGGACGAAACAGCTGTCCAGTACTCCCAGATGTTCCAATGGTCCCTTAACCGATATCAGTTCATGATAAAATCCTATCTATTAACTGCCTTCCAGAAAAGTGGATACCCTCTCAACTCCATCAAAAAGTTCTACAATTTGATTATAGCACCAGCAGTATGCAACCTCCAGAAACCATAAAAAAATACATTCTAGCATATATAAAGAGAACTTCCGAAATAATCACTAGAATACTGCATACAAACCGACACAGTCACTGCATTCAATACTATGCATAAACCAAAAGACATAACAGTGAAAGAAGACAGGATCAACACCAACTAAAAAGGAAATTTTACCAGTTATAAAAATCACTATCTCGATTAAAGTGGAGGTGTTCTTTGACTTCGAATCCAAGAATATAAATTAACTGTCAAATGACACGATGTATACTCCTTGAATCAGTACATTCAGACAAATATGGATGCAAATTTTCAAGAATAGATTTTGTAGGAATTTTGTTTGATTTTATGGAGGATTTCATCATGAGCTGACATCAGTCAGAGGACCATTGGAAAACCAACCAAGAGTACTGGACAGCTGTTTCGTCCCAGTTTGGGACTCTTCAAAAGTATGCCCCCACAGACACGGTTCGAACACAAGACCTTCTGGTTACAAGGCGAGGTAGCAGACAATTAAGTCACTGGGACACGATCCAATGGCAAACGCATGAATTTCAACTTCTGTCAATTCATGACATAGCGCGACCACTTCTCAATGTCTTCTTTGATGAACTACTGCCTCATCTTCAACCCACTGTACCCTAATGGACACGGCTTCCCACTAGAACCCCAGGTCACTGCCTAAGTAGGGGCAATCGCTAGTGAGCATCAGACTAATTTCCAACTATTGGTTTTTTAGGGATTTTGTTTGATTGGATGGAAGATTTCATCATGAGCTTGATACATGGATACAAATTTGATTGGGAAAGAAACGAAAACAGCGCGAATGCTACAAATGCCAAAACATCTCCTAAAAGCTTGTTAATCAGGTCAGTCTTCACTCAAAAGACATACTAACATGAATTAAATTTGTCAAACAAGCAAGAACAATTCACATGGCAAATTTTAGTTCAAGGAAACGGTCTATACCAATACAAATTAACACAAAGATAATAAAACTTCTGAAGACAACTAACTAATCACGAGCACAGTCTCAAGAAGTTAGTTATATTATTCACGGAGAATCCCGGAAGAATCATTTCACATTCAAGTAAACGTTGAGGATTTTATTTATTTTTTTTATTCGCGTTCCCAGTGAAACATAGGGCTTCAAGCTAGAGGCTTGAAGTTTCTGTAGCAGTGTTTATTTTTTACAGGATGGGGTTGCTAGTCTCATGCCCAACCTTTCCTGTTTACCAGCTTTATTACTGGCTTAGCGAGGTAAAGGAGTGCATCGGCCGGGAGTCAAACCCCGGACTATGTGCATAGTCGGTGAGCGTCCTAACCGCTGTGCCACTGACTCACTAGGATTTAAATTTAGAAGGACAATAATAGTTTCTATAACCTTTGTCACGTCCAAAAGAAAAAAATTGTCTGGCACCCAAGTATTTATCTTAAAAGAAGAGAATTATATCATGTTTACATAACTAAACTATTTATGCTTACCCAATTTGAAATACACTGAGATTCATCGTGTATTTGTTGAATATCTGAACAGTTTTTCCAATGACTACGAGCATCAAAATATTTTGGCACAGTTATATTCACTTCTGTATGAGATACAGTTGGAAGACTTTCTTTCCCAATAGTTTGATCAATAGACTGTGCACCAATTGAATTTTGCACACCATCTATATTTCTTAGTATGCTATTACTCTCCGCTTTCCATCCAGCTGTTGGCTAAAAAAACAAAACGATGTAAAATATGACATATATGACTATGGAGAAATGAAAAAGAATAAATGCAACATTCCATTCTAAACTGGTCATCAAATCAGTTCTAAAGAAAGCCATCTTGATGAACCTTGAATTCAGTGGTGATCGGGCTTCTAAATCGGTCAGTAAGATGTTGTTTACAGTAAAACTCTAAATGATTTTCACCAGCCATAAGTTGTCCTCCATCTCTTTAAAAGATGAGTTTCATCGTCTGGCCGCTTCCATGTACATCTATCAATTCACCTGCTTTTGTAGAGTATGGTACATGAGAAGTAGCTAAAGAATACCTTCCACATGCATGCAATATCACATCCAAGCATGATTTTATAAGAGAAAAAGGAAGGATTTGGGAAGCTAGATGCTAGAACACTTGATAGACTTCTGTCACTCTATCAACCTTGACCATGATTTTAAGGTCATCTACTGAATTCATGCTAACTTGTCACGTTTTCTTCGTTCGCAACATCTAAAGACAGCGGAGGACTCAGTCATTAATGAATTTAAGCCGGGCCTTTGTATATACTTTCTGTTTCTACTTTGGTCGTAGAGGGATATACATTTATTTATTTTTAATGTTGTTTATTTAATCTATATATCTTTCCATCACTATTATAATCGTTATTAATTTTATTTCCACTATGAACAGTCTCAAATATTATTTCACGTGAGCCACTTAATATTTTAAGTCACTACTTGAAAACTGATCTGATACTCACTAGCGACTGCCCCTATTCAGGCAGTGACTTGGGATTCTAGTGGGAAGCCGTGACCAGTAGAATACAGTAGGTTGAAGATGAGGCAGTAACTCATCAAAGAAGACGTTGAGAAGTGGTGACGCTATGTCATGAATTGGCAGAAATTAGAATTCATCAGCTGGTCACAGGATCGGGTCCCAGTGGCCTAATGGTCTACGAGTTAGCCTTGTAACCAGAAGGTCCTTGGTTCGAACAGTGGTGGTGGGTGTGTACTGTTGAGGAGTCCCAAACTAGGACGGAATAAACAGCTATCCAGTACTCCCTGCAGGTTTTCCAATGGTTCCCTAACTGATTTCAGCTCATGATGAAATCCTGTAACCAATCAGTCGAATCCCTACAAAACCAACAGTTGACTATATATATATATATATATATATATCAAGCATAATCACTCCTAAAATATGGTTAAGATAAGTAGATTATACCTTTGTAGCGCTAAAACGAGATCTACACAGTTCATTCTTGGAGAAAATAAACAGTCTATCTCCCAGAATCCAGACGTCCGTGAACTACCATTTCTAGACTGCCAAATTAACATGACGGAAAACGAACATTTTAGCATATCTGTATTCTCGAAGAAAACCCACTCAAACTAATATGTAGACTTCAAGTCATTACACCCCATCAACGTAAATGCATCAGTTGTTTCAAGTATTCTAAGACAAGTACACTCTCTGATAACGGATGGGAAACAATAAGAAGAAGTATCAGATATTACTGAGACTCTCAAACAAAATAACTACCCAAAGAAATTCATCAACAAAATCAAAAATGGCATTAAATGTGATCGAGAACGTACTCCGAAAGCATGGGCCTCAACATATGTCATTCCATATAGAGCGGAGACGTCAGACGATATCAGAAGAGTACTCAATAAGCTCTACATCAGAGTTGTCTTCAAAACATCAGACACATTGCGAAATAACCTTGTCCATATAAAAGACCGAATCCCTGAAGATTCTTTATCTAATTGTGTCCATGAAATAAAATGCTTGCAATATGGTGCGATATACATCAGACTAACATCGCCAGAGAGAAATCAAGCTTATCAGAAGAAATGAACACCGTGGAGCATCTGTTCGACCACTGAGAAATAAATCCAGTGGAACTAGAAAAGCTTGAAAAATCATCAGCCATAGGTTGTCCCCAAGCTATAGAATCAGGTCACAATATTGATTTTGACAATTCCATTATGGAGTTATACTCCGCCACAGTGCACAAGTTCTATTCTCATATCAATGTTTTTGACAGTATTGAAATAATCCAGAAACATATCACACTTCACAAAGAACATCTGATATCGTCAGAAGCACTTCATATCAAGTGGAATCCAAGTTGTCTGAACAGGAATGATGGACTGAAACAGAATTTGACCTGACTACAACACCCACCCACCCCTCTTCACCCATGAAATGACAAAATCAACACGAATGTGATAAGCAATTTCATTGTGTAAACACACGCTGCTTTTGTATAATTTTACACACTTATCAAATCCAACAATCTACACCTGGTTTTGTTATCTTTACCAACTTGACAAGGCAAAAATGGACCCATGCTGAGTAACGATGATTAAGTTGTTATGTATAAGCTGAGTGGATTTTGTAAATTCTGGTTTAATAATACTTTGATGAAGCTATTAAAGGCATTAAATAGTGAAACGTCAGTAAAAACAACAATATCATTTTGTTTTTCATTCATTGGGAAATACAAAGGAAACCCTTTAATATAATGAATTCATAACTATTGTTTAAATTTTATTACGGAATATAGTTTCTTAAAAATTATGCTTATACGACTGTGCAGCTTGATGATAAATTCGTTGAAAACACTCTGCGTACTGTTTACTGTATTCTTAAAGCCTTCTTGTTGAGATAAACAATTAATTAGTCACCTCCAATTTGAAAATTGATTTACAGACTCTTTTTTTCAAATGAGGAGAAACTCAATAATGACGTCTCCAAGTTCATATATATTACGCTATGCATCACGTTAAGTTCGATTATCTAAGCGAATCATAAACAACCGTCTCCTTAGTACTGCTTTTTCATACAGATTAAATCATTAGAAAAATGTTTAGAGAGAAGTATTCAAGTGCTTCCATGTGATTCAGAAATATGACGTATCACAAAAAGCATTTTGAACATTATCAACAGCTACCTTTGCTGACTTCACACTTAATATCAGATATCCGGCCAGAAATGATAAGTACCTGGAACGAACCAGAAGACAACCTATCGTCAAACAACAAATATGCAGAAGGAAACGAAATTAAAATTGGATCTACACTGAGTAGACCGAGTGATATCACATGCCAGGCCCTAGAGTGAAGCCTGAAGAATGAGAAGCAAACAAGTAGGTGTCTGAGAGTGATATAGAGAAGATCATGTGAGGAGATCATCATTCCACGGACAACGTTCAGCCGTCATGTGAATCAGTGAACATTTACTGCCCCGTTAGATGGAAAACTAAACGAGGTGATAAACGGACTGAGTACTGAGGCGACTCAGACTCCCATTTCACCTTAAATCAGCACTCATTTTATTAGTAACAGTAACAGTTAGATAAACTAATGTGGAAACCACTCTAAATGTAACATGGAATTGTAATAAATTCCATAAAGCACAATATGTAACTTCTTTTTAAATATAATATTCACTTACATATTGATTGATGTAACTCACTAATTGATTATCATCGGGTTGAAATAGGCTCTCCTGACATTCTACGTAAAATAATATCCAGTTGAATATTATTGTAAAAAGAATCATCATTGAATGCAGCCATTAAAACAAACAATTAGTCGTAATAATTGAGTCGTATGTATGTATGTTGTCTAATTGAGAAATGGACTGGTTAAAATTTCTTGTGTGTGCTAACTTTAATTTTTAAATAGATAGATCGATTCACTGACAGACAACCAATCGATTTTATACTATTTTCAAACACCTACTATTTTGCTTTAGAATTAGGTATTTTATTTCTGTTTATATGAATTCTCAATTTTGCGTTTATGTTGTGTAGGTAGATACCACCTTTTAGCTGTTCTGTATGTGTAAACAGAGTTTCTTATAATTCATCTCAGTGTGTGAATTCCTGATTAATTAATAGTTTGTTTGTGGATGGTGACTAACAGTGGAATCCAGGATGTGAATTTCGTCCTATTTGGGGCTCGTCATCTGGATGTACCTGCATTTCTCAGTGGGTGATGATGTTCCCACCGAGGCTCGAACATAGTAGATAACGCTTTGGCGTTTGAAACTATGGGCACTGGGTTCGAGCCTCGGTGGGAACATCATCACCCACTGGGAAATGCAGGTTTATCCAGATGATGAGTCCAAAATAGGACGAAATTCTCATAATCGTGGATTCCACTGCTAGTCACCATCCACAAATTAAACTCTAATTAAATGCTCAGACATCGTCGAAGCACCTGCACAAGAAGCCGACATGTCAACCTGAGACCGAGCACTTCGGTCCAATCAATCGACGGGAAAATCGAAAATTCAATTAATATTAATAGTTTGCATAAGAATGACAAGACTCTTGTATATTTGTTTGTCTGTTTGTTTAAACCGTGTATAAGTTGTTGAATCACCGCATAAGTCTGCTGAAGCGATAACAAACAGTAGTGTCACTAAGGTGTACCCACCTTCCTCCATCGCTGTTTAATTTTAATCGCAGATTTGTTAATGGAATAGTTGTAACTGACTTCAATGACATCGGGATCCACTCGCTGAATTCGAATATGTGGGTGTGATATAGTCTTTCTAGGTAAAGACACTTACAAAATATAGAGTCTTCTAAACACCTTGAGGCAATACCTTTGAATGTTTGTCATGCGATTCGCTCCTGTCATATGTGCGACGATGCTACAGGGATGAAATACATCAACTTCTAGTTTGAAGATAAGGGGTTGAAATGTGTTGATCACTTCACTTATTTAGAAAGTTCAATCAGTCCCAATGGCTACGAAAGGTTCTTGTGGCACTTACTAACTTACATCATCCCTGGTGTAGAAATGATGTCCATTATCGAAAGCAGAAGAACAACTTCTTCAGGAAGGACTCAACTACAATACTGGTGACGCTTCAGTAACAGATTTCTGTGCTTCCTTAGGATCATCACTCAAATTATCAAAATTAAATGAGGAAGTACAACAAGAAATACGTCAATGTATCATACATATACTCAAACAGAGAAGACATAATTCCCAGCTTAGCAGTGAAGAGCAGAATGCATTGAAGAAACTGAAGAATAGAAAAGATATAGTTATTCTACCTGCTGATAAAGGAAGAACAACAGTAATCCTGGACACAGAAGACCACATAAAGAAAACAGAGGATTTACTCAAAGATAATATTGTATATCAACAGTTGACAAAAAACCCTATACAAACATTAGATAACAAAATCAAAACAACGTTAAATAAACTAACGAAATCAGGACAAATTGCAGAACAAGATCAATGGCGAATGAAATCTAACGGATCTATTTTACCTCGATTCTATGGTAGACCAAAACTACACAAACCAAACAATCCTCTACGACCACTCGTTTCGCTTCTAGGAACAGCAACATACGATCTATCTAAAGAACTTTTCAGGAAATTAAATTACCTAACAGAATCATGCGACCATTCTATCAATTCCTCAATTCAATTTTTAGAGAAAATCAAAAACATTCAAGTAGAAGACAATGAAATAATGGTTTCCTTTGATGTCACAGCATTATATACTTCAATTAGTCCAAAACTAGCAACAGAAACTATGCAACAATTACTCTATAGTGGGTGAAAACATACAAAACGAAATGTTCAACTTGGATAGAACTTATAGAATTATGCCTTACAACATACTTACAATTCAATACTCAAATATATGAACAAATAAAAAGGAACATCAATGGGATCGCCCATATCACGTTATGCAAAGATTAGGATTAATAGCTCTACTTATAATTAAACCGAAAATCTGGGTGCGTTACGTTGATGATACATTTGTGATAATTAAGATAAAGGATTTAGAATATACTCATAAATTAATAAACAACATATTTGAAGACATCAAATTCACAAGAGAAGAAGAATTAGATAACAAAATCCCATTTTTAGATGTCTTAATCAGGAGAACCAACACAGGAGATTTAGAGACATAAGTATAGAAAATCAACGCACACAGATCAAATACTCAACTACACTAGCAATAATCCAATTACTCACAAACGAAACTGTGTGCAGACATTGTTTAAAAGAGTTCACACACACTGTAGCACTCCAGAGTTGAAAAGAATGAAAGAAAAGTATCTACAAACGGTCTTCAAAAAGAATGGTTATCCACAAAATTTCATCAAAAAGTGTTTAAAGTGGAATCAAAACACCAACAAGGAACCATCATCAAAGGCCACAAGAAAATTCATCCCACCATACATGAGAAATATCTCTGAAATAACAGCTAGAATACTGAAACCGTTTGAAATAGATATAGCACACAAGCCAGTAAAATCGCTTAATTGTAAATTATGCAAACCAAAAGATCCAACAGAAAAAGGGGATAAAATTAATACGATTTACAAAAAATAAATTGTATGAACTGTAATAGACATTACATCGGCCAAAGTGGGCGTCCCCTTCGAATCAGAATCCAGGAACACAAATCAGCCGTGAAACACACGATATACATTCTTTAGTATCAATGCATATAGACAATTATGGACATCAATTTGATTGGGACAGTGTCGAAATCTTAGACAGAGGAATTACCACCAAAAGTGTGGTCAGGGAATTCCTAGAAGCCTGGTACTCAAACGAATATGCAATTAATAAACATGTTACTATAGACGAAATATACCAACTAATAAAAAGTAAATCAGGTGACCAGAAGGTTTAAAATCCAAGTCAATGGAAAATGGTCAATACATATGTAAAGATGGTTGCCGGGAGACGCAATTATATCACTCATGAAGAAATTTAAATCATTTCACTTTATGCTAAATATTACGCTGAAGATGTCCAGAAGGACGATGAAAGCTCCGCAACCAAACCAACCAGCTCAGAGAACACTATTAATTGCACAAATGATGTCCACCTACCGATCAAAAGGAGTGTGTACTGGGTAAAAGTTTGCTGTGCTCTCCTTTCCTAACTTCACCGACTGAGATGGCCAGGACGCATGTCACGCATGCTCAACCATCTCCTTCTTCGTTAAACAACGTTAGCAAACATGGGATTAGGTTGGGGGAAGAGTTAGTGTTGGTCAAACCAAGACATGAAATCAGTCAACTAGGTCTATCACTGTTAGTTTGAGCGACCTTTACAGAGAAGCACAGAATGCCTGGTTGAAGTCCTCGGAGTGTTAAGAACGAATTGCTTGAGACTGTTAGTGATACCGCTTAAAATCGTTCTCATCGGAGCAGACGCATTCACTCTTTGTAATCTTCCAAATCGATCAAATCTTCATATTTTCCCATGTTACTACTCTTCCTCCACAACACTTCTCATTACACTCCTTCTGAATCTCTTTATTTTCCCTTTTCTCTACCTTTTTGTATTATATGAAGTGTGTGTGTGTGGCAACTTGGACTGCGGTACTTTTGTGCAAATTTCTACGTTGAAATTCAGTCAGTTATGAATTTGCATCTACAAGATGAACTGTTGAAAATCAGTAAGTACTGTATACCCACAACTTCCTGGAGCATCCAGAGCAATATCATTACTTAAGGAAACCAGGACATTTATCATTCGCTTATTCGATTGAAATCCTACACCCATGACTTGCAACCTCTGTAAACTTACGAAAATACTAAAAATCAACCAAATTCTTATAGCTTAACGACAGAATTATTATGTTTAATAGTGAATACAGACTCACTTATTGAGTGCCTTCAGTGCAATGGGATGCTCACAAGATTTCAGTATATGAAAAAACCTATACTGATTACTCAAAATGGCGACATTAATGTGCGTGTATAAATTCAACTGCTCCTGTGGAGCTAGTTATATAGGTCGTACCCAAAGGAGTTTATCTTTACGCGTTCGTGAACATATTCCTATTTGGCTTGGGAAAAGAACAACCAAATCATTAAATAGTGCAATTCTATCTCATGTAGTGGATAGCGAACACAGCGTCAAAGTAGATGAGTCATTTACAGTTGTGTATCAAGTACCGAACAATCTACCCAAAGGCACACGATTACGCCTCCTAGCCATAGCTGAGGCTTTAAAGATTAATAGAGAGAGACCAGACCTATGTGTACAGAAAAAAACTTATTCACTCTCTCTGTCTACCCTGGCCCACTATAAGGTCACCAGGATCATAATTTTCCGTAGTATTATTACCATTATTACCATTTTGTGATATCATGTCTTTATTATCCATTTCCCCACCCAGTTTATTTCACATCATGGTTACCCTTAATTTTATCAACCTTTGTGATTTTATACTAAGCCTACCAATTCTGTAACATCTTATTACAATTTACAATTTAGCCCCTTTATTTTATCATTAGACATTGTCAGTCAGCCCTCACAATAAGTGTCCCCTATGCTAATGTGTGTTCATATGCATTTTGTGGTTATCGCATTTCTCTCACCCCAGTGACACTTGTATTCTGTTGACTATAAAACAGCACTATATCACCCAATTGTTCATTCACACTTCATCACATTTTTTCTGACCATACACCCTATACACATTTGATTGAATATGTTAACTAATGGACTATCATCACAACCTACACATGCACCCACCCGAATACTGTTTCTGATATTATTTTCATTTGCCTTTATTGGCTATATGTACTATATTACTATTCATGGATTTATAACTGTAGAGCCTGAAGAAGAAGTT